CCACGGGCCTTGCTTGGCAGTCCCTGCACTCTGGACACGGAGCTCACCTTCAATACAACAAGGACCTCATCTGTTCTTTTCAACACTGTGTTTAGATCCTGGGTACTAACAATTTGAAATGATCCAGGCTCCAGAGACTACAGTATGTTGGGCATCCAAACCCCAACTTGTCTTTCCCACTCCCCTCCCCTCCCCTCCCCTCCCCGAGGAGCTGCCAAGACCATTGGTGCCATGTTCTCAGGCCCATTGGGCTTGACGAGGCTGGGGGTTCATTAAAGCTAATCCTGTCCCCTTCACCTCCTCCCCCACACTCCTCATATCTGTTCTTGTCTTGCTCACTACCACACGTACCCTGGTCTAAAACCCATGGCTCCTCACCCTTGAAGTACTGCAATGCTCTCTAAGCCAACTGACTTTCTAGTTTCATCTCACATCACTTCCCTATCAACTCTTCTAAAATTTTCCTCTGGGAAATTCTCTCTTGATAATCCTTTAACAAAGACAGTGTAGTCTATACACCAATGAGCCCAAACTTTGCTGACTAGCTGTAAGGAAGTCAGGTTTTTCACCCTCGACACTTCTGAGTTGGGGTTTGGATGCCCAACATAATGTAGTCTCTGGAGCCTGGATCATTTCAAATTGTTAGTACCCAGGATCTAAACACAGGTAACTCTTGGCTGTGGGCTGTCCTGTGCACTGTGGGGCGTTTAGCAGCATCCCTGGCCTCCTCCTACCAGACACCATTAGCATTCTCTACCCTAGATGTGACAACCAAAAATGCTCCCAGATATTGCCAATGTCCTCCGGGGGCAGCATCACCTGATTGAGAACCACTGCTTCGGGGTGCCCTGACCCCAGCCCGCCTACACATCTCATTGCTCAGGGTTCCTCAACAAACCCCAGTTTCCATAAGCAAAGAACCTTCTCCCAGTTTAGTGAAGCCAACGCACCAAATTTCCTCTCACCTCTCCATCTTCAAGCATGGTGTCTCACTAGCCTCTCCTTCTAACCAGCCCCTGCTCCATGGAGCTTTTCACAGACAGGTCAGACTTTCTCACTCACCTATTATCTCTGCACCACAAACACATACCCTGCCCCTCCACTCCGAGTCTTCAGGTACTTACAGATCTGAGTACTTGTCTTCACCAGGTCTCATCAGTGGTAGGAAGAGACAGAGGAGGGTGGGATCCTCATCAGACCGTCTCCAAAGGGCAAGACCATCAGGGGCAAGAAGCCCAGAGAACAGAGGGTCCAGGTGGGAGTTTGGGATGGGCTGACAGGTGAGGAGCTGGAGTGCTGAGCTGGGCTCTCGCCTGGGAAGTCGCGAGAGAATGGGAAAGGCTGACAAGGTGGAGCCCTAAGCATGAGGAACCTGGAGTTCCAGGAACCAGCATTCGGGCATCTGCTCTAACCAAAGTGTCAGAGCCAAATGGGACCAGCCACAAGGCCGGAATTGGGCAGACCTAGAGACACTGACGTAACAGTCTGCACAGCCTCTATGCCCAGAGGACATGGTGCCAAGTGCAAGGCGGGAGCTTTCTAGATAAAGACCTGGTGGTATCAGCTAAGATGAAGACAAAGGTGCAAAGGTAAACAAAGGTTCTAAAGCTTTCTCTTGCCATTTCATTTTCAAACAGCCCTGTCCAGTATGGAGGTCATTACATTTTATGTAATTTAAAAAAACAAATTAAAAACCTGATACTCGAAAAGATTAAGTAATTAGTACAGAGCCAAAGTGGAGGTGAGTGGAAAAAAGGGGCTCAACCCTGATTTTCTGTTTAATGCTTTAATCCCTCTATCACTCTGTACCCTAATTTTCATGGAGGATGCCAGAGGCTGGAAAACAGAGGTTAATAAAATCCTCAGGCAATAAGGGTGGTCTCCAAGGAAAATAAATCCAACTGTCCTTCTTAGCACAAAACAACAGATCTCTCTACCTGGAGATGGGTCCCCCTCACCGGTGATCTGTGTAACCTGCCAATTCAGACCAGAAGGTCAACAAATAATGCAAGACCCAGAGTGGGGGACAGACCCACGAAATTGCTTCTCAATAATATGACTCAAAGCAGGGCAGCTATGGCAGGCAAAATCCATATCCCCAGCCCCCAATGTCCACACCGAATTTCCAGACCCCGTAACTGTGATGTCACACAGCAAAAGGACTCTGAAGGTGTGACTACAGTGGTGACCTCTGAGACAGTAGGCCCAATCCACTCTCATGAATCCTTGCGAGCCGAGAACCTTCCCTGGCTGCAGTCCGAGGCAGAGATGGGATGGAAGGAGGAGAGATCTGAAACCTGAGAGGGACTCGAGCCACCACCGCTGGCTCTGAAGGGGAAGGGAGGGGGCCTCTAGAAGCGGGGCCAGCCCTCGCTGACAGGCAGCAAGAATACGAGGACATCAGTCCCACAGCTGCAAACAAGTGAGGTCCACCAGCATCAGGACCGAGCGGGAAGCGGATCCCCCCAGAGCCTCGGGGAAGGCCGACGGGGACACAGCACCACGCTGTAAGTCAAGTCATCTTTTCCTTCTTTTACACGTACAGACGGGCATCGCTCAGAGCTGGGACAGGAGGCGGCAAAGCCGTGCTTCTCTGACAGGTGGTGGCTTTGTCTCCAGGGGGCATTTGACAGGTACTGGCCCCCACTGCCAACAGCTTCAGCCACGACAAGAAAATCACGGCGGCTGCTTTACGGATAACAGTACGATTATCCAAGTCTCAAAAGGAAGACAAACAGGGCAACATTAACTGAATTGAACTGCAAATTGGATGTACAAAAATCCTCTGTTTTTTTTCCCTCAAAGGAGAGGAAAAAGATCTTCATTTCAGGAATTTAAAAAAAACCAAGATCCTAATCACAGGGTTTACTAGCCAATTCACCTCTCAGGTGTAACATCATCCTCATGGAGGGAAAAAATTGTTAAAAGGCTCTACCTTCTAAATCCATTGGACAGGGTTTTTTCCTCTGAATTGACTTACTTTTTCTTGACCATTAAATGTACAGTAAGAACTTGCATGGAAAGATATGAGTTCTGAAATACTCACCTACAAGAGACACACACCAATAAGAATTTTTCAGTCTAGCTTCACATTTTACTACCAACTAGAGCTGGTTATCTCTAATATGCATGGCATTTACTTTACAAACATTTATTGCACAACTACCAGGTGCCAGGCAATGTCCTTGGCTCCAGAAAGACAAAATAAATTTAAGTCCTTAACAAAGCGAGGAAGGAACGTGCTACGTAAACAGATAGCTACATGGAATTGTCGAGTTCTTAATACTAAAAAAACAGGAACGGTGCGTGGTAACCCAACCCGGGCACCCGCGCCATGGGTGCTCCGTGGGAAGAGAGGAGCAGAGGGCGTTCCTCCCGCCAGCACATGCAAGACTAGAATACACAGCCACTTTGACATAAGCATGTATGAGCGTTACCTTTTCTGAAGAACATATGGAAAACATTTTAAATCTGAAGGCTTAGTGTAAGCAAGCTCAGCAAGCCAGAGGACTACAACGCGATGAAATTTCTCTAGACAGGGCTGTTTGAAAACATTTGGCAAACATTAGGGCGATCTGGCAAAATGACACTTTCACGATGTAAAGAGAAGGCAAATAAACATACTTTTTAGAAAAGATGAATAAAATTAAGCCTAACCCCCCGCCCCCTCCCAAATCTCTCATTCCTCCTCTTCCCAACTCTTCTCTCCTGGGCCAAGGTAGGTGAGTTGGAGGCCCTAACTCCCACGCGTGCCTTGAGTGTCAGTAGCACCTACTAGCTGTTGTAAAAGCTGGTGTTACTTTCCACCATAATCACAAACGTATCAGCCAAGTTAAGATGAAGGGTTTTTACAATATTCATATTTGTTTTATTAAAAACTGTATGAATTTGAACTTGACAAGAAAAATAAACATGTATAAGCAGTTGCCCCAGTTTAATGTAAAGACTTGCAAACAGGCAGATAAAAAAATGGGTAAAATCTGTAGGCCGATCAATCTTGACAGATAATGTAATATATGTACTTTAATGTAAAAAATGGTTATTACAGGAGTGAGTTTTAAATATTACTGTATAATACACAAAATAGTCACATTTCATAAAAGTTCAGAGAAACACGTGCATGCCTGCTTTTTACAGACATGTCTGCATTCAAAACAGATCCCACAAATAGGGAGGGTGGGTTCCCTTGAATCCAAATATCCCCCCGGGTGACGTCCAGAGCCAGAAAAAAAAAAATCCATAAAAGGAAGAAAAACCAAGAAAATGAGAAAAAAGCTAAGTTCAGGTACACTGGTTTGCAAATCCACATTTTCCCCCAGCCCTTAATTGAGGAAGTCAAACCACTCCCCGACTTCTTCATCAACAGAACACTTAGGTACAGAACGCGCTCACTGAAGAAAGGTCAGATTACCCTTCAATTTAAGTAATCCCTCTAATAAAATCAAGGCAATAAACAGAGACAACATGACTTAGTAAGCCACATTTCTAATTTGGCAAAACACCTGAACACATAGTTTTACTTAGCCTAACGAGAGGTTCTCAAAAAACAGGAAATACTTTTTGAAAACAATAATTTGAAAAACAGTACTAGGTTTGTTGGGGGGGAATGACTCGCATTGTAAGTTATGTAAATATCTAACCACCATGCTGTGCACCTGAAACTAATATAATATTGAATGTCAACTGTAACCGAAAAGTTAAGTTTAAAAAAGACAGTCAAACTTGAGGGATTTTTATTTATTATTTTTTTAATCCTCACGCAAGGATATTTTTTCCATTGATTTTTAGAGAGAGTAGAAAGGAGGGAGAGAGAGAGACACACGCACATCGATGTGAGAGAGACACATCGATTGGTTGCCTCCTGCACAAGCCCGGACTGGGCCGGGGATTGAACCTGCAACCGAGGTATGTGCCCTGCAGTCCGCAGGCCGACACTCTAACCACTGAGCCAAAAGGGCCAGGGCTGAGGGATTTTTAGAGGGCGCTGGAGGGGCACTTACGTAAATCTGGTCTCTCTTATATCGCTGGTGTAAGTTGTGCATGATAGAGCCCCCATGCAGTTCTGTCAGGGTGGCCATGTCCTCCACGCCCTCCTCCTTCGAGGGGTGCATAGCGGTCACCTTCTGGTGTGTAATTGTGCTCTGCTTGTACGTGAATACCTGCGGGAGAAGAGAAATTCAATTGTTTAGTTAGCAGCAATGAAGAGTTTCTAGAAGTTTCCTGAACATACAACATAAACAATACAAACTCAGTACAATTTCAGCAACAAGATCCTGAGCTAGGGCAGTAAAAAAATAAACAGCAGAGAGCTTTTTCATTTTCTTTGCGCCACCCATCTCTTTTCAGAGGAAGCCATTATTTTGACAATTGCTTTAGATAGTCTTAGAAGACATTAGTTCGAGTGCCAATCATCCTTTGGAAACCACAAAAGTTATAGCTTTACAGTTCACTCTCTGCATATTTCTCCAACGGATGTAAATCAGTTAAGGAACTGGCTAACCAAGCTTTCAGAAAGCAACTTGGTTTCACTACCTAATGTTTCACACAGGATCATATAGTTCAAAGCTTCAAAATAACAATCTTCCATTGAAGTGTTACATAAATTCACTGTATGTCCATAGATTTGCTCAAAGATTAGAACACATCTGCACAGGAATGTTAAAAATATCCGTGGATACTCTCCTCTCACTATCGGGATATATAGCGTTCATGTGATCTTTAAGCAAAACAAATGCCCTATCAGATTTAAAATAAAATCGGTTTGTTTGCTTGACAGCCTGTCTTCCTGGAAGTTCCAAACCCCCGTGGTGAGTGCTGGACACATGCCGTGGCATGTACGCGAGGCAGCTCTGATGCTGGGCGACTGATGACGGAATCTGCATGGATTCCTCCAATCTATTCAGCACTCCTTTCTCACAACCGATTTGGTTTAGGATTAACCATGTCAAGTCAGCTCCATCTGTTGATTAAAGCTTGCCCAGCTTTACATACAAACTCATGTAGTAACATCATTTAATAATGGAGTCTACTCCGTATTTATTCACTTTACACTTTTATTACATTCATTCTCAAAACAAAACAAGAACACCAAGATGCAAAAAACAGGAACGTAAAAAACAGGAAAAATATTCAGTCTTCATATGCACACACACTCACATGTGCACATACACATGCCAACCAACTTTCAGGAATATTTGCAGAACTTTAGGACTGGGGATTCTGTTTTTAAATACTGACCAGTTGCCTACATGGCAACAAATGGTATGTTATTGCAAAAGAGAACGACACACCAAAAAAAGCAAAAGTACCAATTCGACGGTTTTCATAAGCCACGGAAAATGGCATGTTGTCTTTCTCTAGAGAAAAATTAAAACTTCAGCAGTGGCATTTCTGCCATGTGAACCACAAGAGTTGCTCAAAACCAGTCCTGAGAAACTGCTCAAGGCCAGGGCAGACACCCAGCCTGTCTTCTGAGGACCAGCCACTCTCCCCAGCTGTTTCCTGTGCTGGGACACCCACCAGGAGATGTGCCAGTCCCGGCAGCCCCACCTCGTGGAGAGGTGGCCAACCCTGCCACGTGAGTACCCGCAGGCTGGGGCGCGCCTGGGGCCCTCGGAGGGCGGAAGGCATGCAGGGAGGAGTGTGCCGAAGCCAGGAGAGCAAGGTACTTAAGAAAAATGCACAGGAACATTCAAGAATGTGAAAACACTTAAGACACCCAAGCTTGCATTTTAACTCATAAATACCATGAAAGAAAGTTAGGCTAAGAATACAAGTAGTTTTAGGGCAACCTGGAAAATCCCAGAAGCAAGAGCTTGAACCCTCTGCCTTCCCCAGCTTTCTACACGCCTATGATGTCAATCCAGGCACGTTTTCCCAAAACACCACAACTGGGCAGGTTACTTGGTCTTCCACTGAAAGTGACTGTGAGGGTGGGCACAGAAGCAGAACTTGGCTGGGCCAGGGGCTGTCTGGCCGGCTGAGGAGTGCACGGAAGCACCCCCAGGAAGGTCTCTTCTCACTTTGCTTGCTCAAAGCTCCTGCCAACACAGCTAGAAAACAGGTTACTCAAGTTCCCCAGAAAATCTCATAGGAACCTAGACACACCACCAAAGCCACCAAAACCAGCACAACTATCTCTGGCAAACTCATCATCACAAGTCCTGCCCAGCATGAAAACAAATAATTTTTTCCACAAATTGAATAGATGGAGAATTCCAGAATTTGAGGACAGAAATAATTTAGAATATTAAAATTATTGTCTGTATGTTGATTCTGCTTTTTGGAAATAATATACACCGTACGACACTTAGACACTAAAATATATATGAACAGTGATTAAATATTTGCATCCTATGTAAACATTTTATTGTTTTTTAATGTGCTTAGAACAGTAGGACCATTTGTGAGCAAAGTAAACAGCTCAGAGCTGGTCACATGGCCACAGAAAAAAGTGGCCGTGACCTGTAAACAGAGTTCTCCACCTTCTACACTGACTTCCTCAGATATTTTCAGGAACATACCGAGTATACAACGTGGGCCCCTGCCCATTCCAGGAGAGGGGAGATCAGGAGAACTAGAACAATCCTCATGACCTCAAGGAGAGGAAATCATGATGGAAGATAACAGTTACATAAACAAAAGGCTATGAACAGAAAAAAGAAACATTCTGCATAGATACAGGATTGCAGCTGCTCAAAACAATGATTATTTCAAAGAATAGTAGAGAAAATGTATTTGTGAAGGAAAGGCAAGGATAACCATCCACTCAGAAATAGATTTAGTCTACATCGAAATGACCAAATAAGTGTCTGACAAATTAATTAAGAAAATCCATTCATTCAAGCAAATATTTACTGGTGTGTTCTAAGCATTGGGGATATAGCTTACATTCCAATAAGGAAAGGGGGGGGAAAACAAATATACAAGTAAACGTACAGCATCACAGATGGTGATGAATGTCTACGAAGACATCACGAAGGCCAGGGGACTAAGTACCAAGAGGGGTTACTTTATATTAGGTATTTGGGGACAGCCTCGCTGGGAGGATAACATCAAGTTAGAAACTCCTGTAAGTAAGAGTTTCTAAGAATCAAAAACTAAGTTACATAATATTGTCATTTTCACCTTTGACTTACCTCTCTTCACCAGAAACCCTAAGTAAGTAAGGGATGAAACTAGTCCCTGTACTGGTTGAATAAACCACCTGATTGAATTTGCAAAGATTTCAACAGATTAATTAGAACCACAATCTTATTCAAGAATTTTTAAAGGAGAGCCCTTTGAATGACCAAAACTCATTCTCCTATGTGCAACAATTAACAGGGTATTAGCTGCACAAGATTATTCCAAAAGAGCAGAAAAGAAAATCCTAGGATTAAAGAATGGAATTCTTTTTACAGGATTTTTTTCAGAAGCAGACAACTGCCAAAATACATTAACAGGATGTAGCCCTAAAAAGCCAACTCAGAATAAACTGTGTTACTTCAATGGAGCATATATTGGGAGAAAGGTAGTGAGATTGAGAAGTGGAGCCAAATATGGAAGATTAATAGGCAGGAAATCAATTTAGAGAAAGTGGGGCCTCAGAACAAACAGCTCCTGTTATAGCAATACAAGCCGCTGGTCACAAGATGGGCTGGGTTAAGCGTGGGGAACAGAGGAAACCAATCAACACTGCTGGCAAAACACCCAAAGTAGGCCTGCCCAAGGCTGGGTCCACTTCGGTATGAAAAGGCACGGAGTCAATTGATTAGATAAAAAAGCTGAGCCATGATCAATCCCCTTTTATTTTTAACCTTAGGATGTTACACACTGCAAGGCAACCCCACCCACTTACACAACAGTTTGTAGAACACAGAGTGATGTATGCAGATTTTCCTTATTACAGTCATTAGGAACCCCCGTCATAAAACCTAACTTTTCCTACTGAAGAGAAAGGGGGGGGGAAATCTTATCATGTCCTCTCCTCGTGAGCGGATGGCATACAGGGACTTCTCAACCTGAGCAACTTCATAGCACGTTAGCCTGGCATTTCCTCTAGGGCAGTTCTCCATTTGGCCCTTCACCCCCTGGGAACGTGTGGCGATGTCTGTAAGCATTTTTGGTTGGCACAGCTGGGGGCTGAGGGGAGGAGGCTATTGGTATCAAGTTGGGTGAAGGTCGGGAATTATCCAGCCCAAATGTCAAGAGTGCCAAGGCTGAGATACCCTGGTCTAGAAGTCCCACGACAGGCCAACCAACCAGATGTCAATGTGGATTCTAGAAAAAGTGATGAACGTAAGCCAATGTCTGTAAGCAAAATGTTTCAGAAAACATAAAAACAAGGCTTCCAGAAACAAAGAACTAAAACCAGTAAAGAGAGGGAAATCAAAGGTCAAAATGACAATAGTATGTAACTTAGTTTCTGATTCTTCCTTATTTGACCCAGCTTAAGAAGGGTGGTGGTGATGATAAAAATGATGAAAGTTACTACTAGGCACTGGGGTCTGCTTACATTTTAGTATTTCTAATTGTACTGTGCTATGGTCAGACAATACGGTCCACACTATTTCTACTTCTGTTACCTGGCCCAGGGCTCTTGCACCTGCTATTCCTGGTTCCAGGTCACCAACATCCTGCTCCTCTCTTCCTTGAGGTCCCAGCCCAAATGTTACCCTCTCAGAAGGCACCTGTCACTCACCGTATGAAGACACGAGTGCCGTCTTCACAGCTCATTATGACACTTGGTAATAGCTTATCTAATCTATTATTGTACTTGTTTAAAAACCACCTCACCCCCATTCTGGTCAGTGACTTTCAACTCTACTGACCACAACGTACAATAAAAAATATGTTTTATACTGTAAACTACAATACACATAGTTTCATAAAACACATCACAAGTATTTGATGCATCCCAGTTTTTTTAATTCTGTTTCTCTTAAATGCTGGCTGTGACCCTCTACACTGATTTCAAAACACCTCACTATTATGCGTCACAAACCAAGGTTTGAAAACCCTACTCCATGAGGGCAGGAAAACCCTACTCCATGAGGGCAGGAAATATGCTGAGCTTGCTCCCCAGTGCCCAGCCTTGGCCCACTAAACAGATTCAATAAATACAGGATTGATGGTCCTGGCCTTCAAAATGGGTATAATATAGAAGGAGAGGCAGAGT